AACAGCCAAGGTTTTGATGAGTGGTTTCTACTGGTTCAAATTTTACAAAGACGCCAGAAAGTATGTGGAAGCATGTGACAACTGCCAGAGAACTGGGAACATCTCCAGGAGACATGAGATGCCTTTGAATAATATACTGGAGGTGGAGATCTTTGATGTCTGGGGTATGGATTTCATGGGACCTTTTCCTTCTTCTTACTCTAACAAGTATATCCTGGTGACAGTGACACCTTGTGGGCATTTGCCTTTCAGTTGTTGTTTGGGAAAGCATGTCATTTGCCTGAGCATAGAGGATTATGGGCTGTCAAGTTCTTAAACTTTGACTCCAAGGCTGCAGGTGAGAAAAGACTACTGCAATTGGATAAACTGGATGCATTTCGTCTGTCTGCTTATGAGAGTGCCAGCCTATACAAGGAGAAGACCAAGTTATGGCACGACAGGAAGATCACACCCAGGGATTTTAAGGTGGGAGATCAGGTGCTGTTATTCAACTCCAGGTTGAAATTGTTTCCAGGGAAGCTGAAGTCCAGATGGTCTGGACAATTTGTAGTTAAGACATTGAAGCCTTATGGAGCGGTGGAGATTTATGCTTGGGATTTTGACCAGAGTTTTACTATAAATGGTCAGAGATTGAAACGTTACATAGGATGAGCTGTGGACAGGCAACTGATTTCAGTTGCCTTGTTGGAGATAAGCTAGATCATACCCGTCAGGCTCACGACGTTAAACACGCGCTGAGTGGGAGGCAACCCACTGTATCAGGTATGTAACATTAATGTTAATACCATGTAAAGAAAAAAGGAAGATAAGAGGGCAAAGTTTTGAAAAAATTTAAGAATTTTTTTTTTGACAAGTGCTGGGCGCTATTACTTCTATTCTGGACGTTTTAGTGTCCTAAGAGTTGCATCACAATGAAACTCTTTGGCCATGAGCGCTAAAACATTCATACTGACCATTTTAGCGTTCACCCAATGTATCAGTTGCAAGCACTCTGGCACAGAGCGCTAAAACGTCCCTGGTGACCGTTTTAGCGCAGTGCTGCACACAACGTGTGCACACTTTTCTGGTCCTGGGCGCTAAAACGTTTAGTTTCAACATTTTAGTGCCCTGTCACTCATTTTAAATACACGGGTTTTCCCTCACTTCTCTCACACTCACCCTTTTGTCTGATTTTTTCACTCACTCTCTCTCACAATGCACCCTTGAACTCTTCCATTGTTCTTCATCACATTTCCTAACATTTCATCATATTACACCCATGATCATGTTTACACCCCCACCTAAGAAGACCAGAAAGAAGAGGTCTAGGGTGTCTCAGGCATCTGAGCCTCCACCACCTCCACCTACATATGATGCCAATTTCTGGAAGAGTGCGGAGCATGAGGCCCGTTACACTGCTAAGACTTCTTCCAGGCCATTTGTCCCGGAAAGAAAGTTTGTCCTGGACAAGGATGAGTACCCAGAGTTCCAGTCCCAGCTGCAAACTAGGGAATGGGTGACCTTTGGTGATATCCTAGTCAACAGCAGCCCGACCATAGCATGGGAATTCTATGCCAATGCCTACAATAATGATGAGGGTAGTAAGAGGACTTTTGTTAGTTGGGTTAGAGGCAAGAAAGTCAAATATGATGCCCATACTATTCAGAAGCTTCTGAAGATCCAGCATTGTGATTACCTTCACAACCAATGCTGCCAGTTCAAGAGAAATTGGTAGAAAATTGACATTCCACCCAGGAGACGGGACCCTGAGTTTGAGAGTTGGACCAAGTTGGGGGCAGCTGAGCCCGTATTGCACACTATAGCCAAGCCTGGTACAAATTGGGAGATGACAAAGGATAAGGTGAATCCCAAGCTGCTGTGGTTAAGGAACCTTAATGGAGAGGCCCGAGTTTGGTTCCATTTCGTGGTCTCTAATGTTATGCCTTCCTCCAACCAAGCGGAGGTAATTCTGATGAGAGCTGTCTTGATTCACACTATTATGACCAAAGGGAAAGTGGAGCTTCCCATCCTTCTTCAGGACAGTAAATATGATATGGCCCACTCTGATAGCAGTTCTACTGCTTTGGGTCACTGTTCTCTGATCCAGCTTCTGTGCCAGAAAGCTGGTGTGGATGTTACTGATAATGGGGTGCCAGTCAAATTGCACCCTACCATTGATGCCAAGCTGATCAAACAACAGTTAAAGATTGGAGGAGATGGACCCACGGGGCTGACACCTGGCAGGAAATCTATGGCTGAGGTAGATTCTAAGCTTGAACAGAGGATAAGATCAGGGAAGCAGTGGCTGATCAACACTAACATTCGTATGGGGAATTTACGTCGCCGTCTCAAGTTTATGCAGACGAGTCATGAATCATTTCAGACTCACATGATTAAGAATGCTGACCGTTATCTGTGAGGCCCAGGGCTTAGAGACAGCTGCATTCCAGCCTGCTGTTTACCCTCATTCTGACAAGGAGGATGCATTTGAGGCAGCTGTCCGAACCCATTATGACGATCATGCTGATACGAGTGAGACTGCTGATGCTGCTACTTCTGCCCATACTGCTCAGGCCACTGAGGGAGAGACTACTGCTGCGAAGACTGCTACTGATGCTACTGCTGCTGATGATCTGATTGCTGGTGATGTTATCGCTATGGATGAAGACCAGGTCGCTGATGATGAGTACAACCCATTGCCTACTACTGATCCAGGATCAGATCTTCTCTTCACTGATGAGGAGGAGTCAGAGACTGACTAGTCTTCTGATGTTTTTACATTTTTTGTTATATTGTTTTATTGTGGTTTACTTTAGCTACATTTTGTTATTGGTTTTATTTTGTACATTGGTTAAGAACATTGAGATTCACTGTTTTGATTGATACACATTGCGATAGTACTCATGCTATGGAATGATATATGAATGTGTTTCAGTGATCCACTGCTGTTTAGATTTAAATTAGTTGCTAGGGACAACAACGTTTAAATCTGGGAATTGGGGTGTAATTGAATGGCATGCGAACTTCATGGAGATGTCACACGAGTGGATGAGCCAAAATAGGGAAAAATCTCAATCTCTTTTCTTTAGTTTTTCTTTGTGAATCAATTTTTAGTGTAGTTTAGATGTTAGTTTAGTTCAGAAATTGTTTTTCAATTTTTTTTATTTTTTTTTATAAGAAATTCCATGAGGATTTGACTGATCAAAATTTTAGATGATTGATCAAATTAAGGATACAATCTTATGCCTTGCATGTTGAGAAATGAAATGATTTCATGACTCATTCAATGTGTAAGAGTAAAAAGATTAGTTTTGATGTATAGAGAGAAAGTCAAGCATGCACTCTGAACTGTGAGGAAATTGAGCCTATACAAAAAAAAATTGTTCAGAGAGCACTTCATTGCATGAGTAACTCTAGAACTTGCTTTGTTTCTTGCTTGAAATGGTTGATGATGTGTAGGGTAGAGGCATTTCCTTCTTGAACCAGAAAGTCAAATGGCCAACCTTTAAGTTCGTATTGCATGAAACACTTGAGCCTAGCCTGTTGTCTATCAAGCCAAGAACCACATTTATTCCAATCCTTCAGATTAAAAGTTTTAGATAAGTGATAAGGGATGGAGTGTTCTGTGGGGAGGAAAGTGTTTTTGCAATAAGTGAATGCAAGGTGTTGGAAACATAAGAAAGAAAGAAGGAAAAGAAAGAAAAGGTTATGAAACACAAAGTGTTTGGAAGAGACAGAGGGAAGTATTAAAGACACAAAGTGTCTGAAAGAAAAAGAAAGAAAAAGAATTTTTTTTGTTAAAAGACACAAAGTGTCAGGAAGAAAAGGAGGAAGAAAGGTTCAAAGAAAAGAACAAGGAATGAAAAGGAAGAAAGTTGAGGGAATTAGGAAGAAATTGATTAATTACTGTGAATTCCCTCTTATCTGAATCTGATTTATTTGATCTGAACTTCCCCTTTCACAGAAATCCTTACCTCTAGTCAAGCCACACACCAAGCCTCATTGTTAATCATACCAAAACCTTTTTGATCTACTTTATGGATCATTGTTACTATGAATAGTGAGAAGATGGGCAAGCTTATGGCAGTTTGAGTGTAGTAAAGAATGAGTGTTAAGTACATCCTTAAACACTAGTGTGCAAGAGTGTTAAAATTCTCATAATTTTTGAGAAGATCCTAGTGAAGGTGTGTTGTTGTTTGGAAAGTCTATGTATATCATCTTTACTGATCTGTTGAAAAGCCACGTATGATGTTGGGTAAGTCATAAGTAATAAGAGATTGCATGGTTGTAAGTTGTATCAATGTGATCTTTTGTTAATTAAAGTCTATCCTCATGAGTTTCATCTGTAAAGAATCTTGAATCTTTCTCTGTTGCAAGTTCATTACTGAGGACAGCAATGTCCAAATCTGGGAATTGTGATAAACCCCTAGTTCATCATGTTTTTCAGCATGAATTTGTATTAATTTGTGTGATTAATTGGATGAAAAAGAGGTTAATGTCCTGGAAATCCCTCAAGTGTAAGTTCTGAAAGCTTTGTTGAAAATATGCACTGTCTTGTAGGGAAATGAAGCTCAAGGAGCAGCAGAGAGAAGAAGAAGATTCTGAAAAAAGGGAGAATGCTTAAGTGTTGAGCGCTAAAACGTCCACACAGACAGTTTTAGCGCGCTGCTACAATTTGAAGGCAAAAGTTGCTGGTGCCGAGCGCTAAAACGTCCAACACAGAACGTTTTAGCGCGCTGCAGCAAACTAAGGACGAAAGTTGCTGGTCTTGGGCGCTAAAACTCCCTGACCAAACGTTTTAGCGCCCTGCTGCTGCAAAAAGACTCTGGTCTCCAATGCTAAAACATCCAAGCCAAGTGTTTTAGCGTTAGATTTGGTTGGAAGCAGTTGAGCATTCACCAGACATGGACGCTAAAACGTTCAACAGCTCACGTTTTAGCGCCCAAGTTAGTTGAAAGCAGTTGGACATCCGTCAATCATGGACGCTAAACGCCCATATAGAACATTTTAGCGCCCATGTTAGTTTTCAGTTGTAATTTGTAACACTATAAAAGGAAAGGGCCTTCACATTTCTCAGGAAAATCCATCACATGTCTCTCTCATATATCAGATCCTCTGATCTGACTTCTCTCTCTTACTTTCAAAATTCTTAGGAGTAGTGTTGTATTAGTTAGTGTTTCATATGTAATTGCACTTGAAGATTGAAGACTTACTATCATGACAATGGAGTTTGATCTTTCTTCTTCCTTTGTTTGTATTTCAATTATGTCTGAGTAGAATCCTTTGTAATTTGATTCAATGGAACTCAAGTTTGAATTTATGAATGGTTAATTAGATGTTTTGTTTATCTATTATGTGATTGTATGAAGTTGTCTTGATTAATTCTTCATGTTGATAAATAGTGTAGAACAGACATGTTTACATTGTTTCTCTATTTTTGACAACTTAATCATCAGTGTTCTAGTAGTCAAGACATTGATGCTAGGAATCTGATGTGGTCTTAAGACTTTAGTAATTAATGCATGAATTAAGAAAGGAATCACCAAGACATTGGGGTTTCTGATTAATGTATCTATCATGGTAGTAAGACATTACATCTTGAGATGATAAGAAAAAAGTTGAATAACATCACATAGTAGATAATTCATAATGGAAATTGGTTCATCCATAAA